TGGTGCATGCCCATAATCCCAGCTACTTGGGAGGCTGATGCAAGAGAATTGCTTGAACCCGGGAGCCAGAGATGGCAGTGAGCTGAGATCATGACACTGCACTCTAGCCTGGGCAACACAGCAAGACACTGTCTGAAAAAGCAAAACCAAAACCCAAACTACGAATAAAACTACCCCTATGATCCAGCAATTCCTCTCTTGGCATTTCCTACACCTAAAGGAAGGAAAAGCGGTATATCAAAGAGATATCTGCAACCCCATGTTTACTGCAGCAAGCACTAGTCACAGTAGCCGAGATAGGGAATCAACTGAAGTGTCTATCAGAAGATGAATAAAAGTGTGGTACACAATGGAATACTATTTGGCCGTAAGAAAAATGAAATCGTGTCATTCCCTGGAGGACATTATGTTAAGTAAATAAGCCAGGAACAGAAAGATACATGCTCCTCATATGCAGAACCTGAGCAAGTTGATATGATAGAAAGTGGTTACTAGAGGCTGGGAATGGGAGAGGGGATAGGAAGAAATTGATTGATTAATTGGTTAAAGGATATAAAAATTACAGCTAGATGTGAGAAATAAAAGTGTTCTATAGCACTATAGGCTGTCTAGTTAATGATTTTTATTTTTATTATTATTATTTTTTTGACGGAGTCTCTGTTCCCCAGGGTGGAGTGCAGCCTGGGCTTACTGCATCCTCTGCCTCCCAGGTTTGAGCTCACTGCAACCATCTTGACTCACTGCAGCCTCTGCCTCCTGGATTCAAGTGATTCTCCTGCCTCAGCCTCCCAAGTAGCTGGGATTTCAGGCACCCGCCATCATGCCCAGCTAATGTGTTTTTGCAGAGATGGCGTTTCACCATTTAGCCAGGCTGGTCTCAACTCCTGACCTCAGGTGATCCACCTGCCTCGGCTACCCAAAGTGCTGGGATTACAGGCATGAAACACTGCATCTGGCCTAGGGTCCTCTTTTAAATGTGCAAAAAACCATTTCCAGTTTGAACGCAGTGTGAATTTCCTTCGAGAAATCTCACAGGAACGAGGTCATAACTGCGGAGCCCTGCAGTCAGGCCTGGGGAAGGAGAGGCTTCATAACAAAATCCCTTTCCCCGCTTTCCCTCAGTGGGGTTTCCAATGATGTGAACTAATTGCAACATTTTTTCAACATTTACTTTGGTTAAATGCAGGTCTCCCAGAAGAATTTACCAGGTGACTGGAGCGATTAACTTCAGACATGGTGGCACTCTCTGGTTCCCACGATCCTGGTAGGATCTTTTCATTCTACTTCTTCCACACGGGCCTGTCCTCCTCTGCCCCAAACCTGCAAGAGAAGACATCAACTGGCATTTTGGGAATCTTAATTGGGTCTCTTTACCTACTGTTATTTTCCATGTGGGCTTTGCTAGGAGCTAGCATTTCCTGCTTTAGGGTAAAAATAGAGAAGTGATAGAAAAGTTGATAGTAGAGAATGAAGGTGAGAACCTAGAAAGAGAAGTGTGTCGTGTCCAGCACTAGAGGAAGGAACTAAGCTGTTCCCATGTAGTTGAACCAGCAAAAAGGAAAACTGCCTGGGGACGAGGTCAACACAAACTGCAGGGCAAATGCAAAGCCTTTGCACTGATGCCTTGGCAGCCATTCATCATGGGGACCCCCTTCTCTGCTTCCAAAGAATCACTGATGATGGTCATAATAGGAGGTTCTTGCTGCAAATCACTCTGGTGAACTGCATTTAACGCTGTGTGAGCTTCGCCATGTTTTGTTTGGTTGGAGCCACTGAGCTTCTCAGGCAGGGGAAGACTGTGTATCCAAGAAGATCTCATGCCGCCATTGAGGGTGGAGGCTGGAATCCATCCTCCATCATTCAGTTCACTAGTCAGCAACATGCAGTGCCTAGGAGTCCCACTCATATGGAAGGGCACTCACGTCAGCTTTCCTACGTGTGGATGTTTGACATTCGGGCTGTCTCTCCTCTCTCCTCACTCAACTCAGTGATGCTTGTGACTTCTTATTTTGAAAAATAGCAAACGTATAAAAAGTTTAAAGAACTATACAATGAGCACCTACTTGTATATTCCCCATCAAGATTCAATGATTAACATAGTCCTATTTCTCTACCTCTCTTTCTCCATCTCTGTCTGCTCTCTTGTTCAAACCATTTGAAAGCCAATTGCAGACATGGTGGGACATATCCCTACACACTTTAGTGTGACTCTCCTGGGAATAAGGCCATTATCCTCCATAACCATAATAGGCTGGGCATGGTGGCTCGCACCTGTAATCACAGCACTTTGGGAGGCCAAGGCAGGCAGATCACCTGTGGTCAGGAGTTGGAGACCAGACTGGGCAACATGGTGAAACCCCATGTGTGCTAAAAATACAAAAATTAGCCAGGCATAGTGGTGCATGCCTTTAGTCCCAGCCACTCGCAAGACTGAGGCAAGAGAATTGCTTGAACCTGAGAGGTGGAGGTTGCAGTGAGCCGAGATCGCACCATTGCTCTCCAGCCTGGGTGACAGAGCAAGACTCTGTGGCAAAAAAAAAAAAAAAAAAAAAAGAAAGAAAAAAAATACTGTCATCACAAAAACAAACACAATCTGATGGAATTGGGGGATGAGAACAATTAGAGAACTATCCCTATGGAGGTCAAAACAGAGTAGATTTCACGTTCTATTGTGCAAGCAGGCTTTTCCAATTACTCCCTATAAGTATACTTAACGTTTTGCAATGAGCATGTTCTTTTGCAGTCAGAAAGAAACAACAACAACAACAAAACCTTTTAAAGCTGTGATCAGGATCACTTTGGTCTCAGCCCATGTCTGTGGTGGCCACTGGGCATGTCCTGGGCCTCCAACACCAGGTGGCAGTGTTGGGCTGCATTCAGCAAGCTGGTCCTAGCCGGTGAGAAGCCTCCCTGGAAACTAGGGATGGCGCAAGAGAAGGGTGGTTGTACTTTCAAAGTAAATGTCAGAACTTCAAGAAAACCTCTAAAGACATAGGAAAGGGGAAATGACAGAGAACTTACCTTAACGAACAAGGCTCTTTGCGGGGCAAGGTGTTAAGTACATTTTCTCAAGAATCTGACCTACTGAATTCAAACCCTCATCCTATCCCCTCCTCGTTGATTACCATGGACAAGCAACTTGACCCAGAGAAGGCTGGGTTTTGTTTTATCCTACGTAGGATGACTGGCAGGGATACAGGTGACAGAAGCCCGGAGTGCAGGGCCTGACACTGTGCAAGTACATACAACGTGCTGGCTAGTTAGCTACAGTGACTCACTTCTCTCCACGACTGAGCCACTGCTGGCTTCGTCCTCTCGAGAACCTCTTCTGCCTCTGCCCTGGCCACCCTGTTTGCAACGCCACCTGGGTGTGGGTGGACAGTGGCTTCTTTTGCAGAGTTAGGGAGGTGGACAGCACCCACATGTTGAGAGAGGGCCAGTGTCACAGGCTGAAGCACAGGAGGCTTCTGCATTGGCCTCCAGAGTCCATTCTGTAGCATACATGTACTTATACCTGATGGACAGAGGCTTGATTTTGCGTCCAGGATATATTGGCACAAAGCCACCCTAGAATGGAAACACTTGAGGCCCTCGACCGCCTTCGCGGAGCTCCCTCTGAAGCATGCACAGTAGCTGTTTTGATTCATAGACAGCATCAGCCTTCTCCTAAGAAGCAGGTCGGGCCAGGCACAGTGGCTCACGCCTGTAATCCCAACACTTTGGGAGGCTGAGGCAGGCAGATCACCTAAGGTCCGGAGTTCAACACCAGCCTGATCAACATGGACAAACACCGTCTCCACTAAAAATACAAAAAATAGCTGGGTGTGGTGGCACATCCCTGTAATCCCAGCTACTTGGCAGGCTGAGGCAGGAGAATCGCTTGATCCCGGGAGGTGGAGGTTGCAGTGAGCCAAGATCACGCCATTGAACTCCAGCCTGGGCAATCAGAGCAAAACTCCATCTCAAAAAAAAAAAAAAAAAGATAAAAAGCAGCAGCTTGGCAAGGACTCGGGGTCACTGGGTGGCTCACCGCAGCTGGCAAGCTGACCCAGAGCCCTCCCTGACAGCTCTTTCCTCTGCCCACCTCCACCCCACCTTGCACCGATTTCTCCTACCTGCTGCCGGTGTGTGCCCTCCTTTGTCAGAGCACCTCTCACGCTTCCTCTAGGTATCTGCACCCAGCACGGTTAGTGCAGATCGGCTCTGCTATCTCCAGCCGTTTCCTCCGCCCGGAATGATCCCCGAATCTCATGTGATTGGTTCCTTCCCACCGCCCACGTCTGGGCTCCAGTACCCCTCACCGGGGGGCCTCCCTTCCTAGCCTCACTCTCCTGTCACTCTGGGTATTTTCTTTTTTCTTTTTTTGCTCTGTCACCCAGGCTGGTAACACGCCATTGCAAAACTGAGGAATTTCTTAATTGAATGTGTGAGCACCAAGAAAGGAGAGAAAATCATTTAGCATGCAGGCCTATTAACACTGTTTAGGTATGCTTTGGGGAGGTTCAATTGCCCTTGTGCTACTGGAAATAAAGAATAAATAGATATTCTTGCTAGTTTTTATTGCATTAGATCATGTTGTTTTAACCCAAGAACCTCAGGAAGTGCAGAGTAAATTGAAACACTCAATCAAATAAAAAAATATGCTTAAACTGAGTTAGAGTTGGTTGTGCCACAAACGCTAAAGTTCAAGTTGACATTTCATCCTGAGCTCATAAAGTTATAAGTGGGGAACCCACAGCAGGAAGGAGGAACAGAGAGTGTATCAGACTCCAACATGCATGGTGTGACTCTTGTTACTTTAGAGGAAAACGAACCTCACTGTGTAATAACCTAACTCTGTTGTGTTTATTCATTTTTTTCTTTTTATATGTTTATTCATTTTCTTCTAAGTTCAAAGGTCAGTTCCAGGTAGGAGAGCAAACGTCCTTGTATTTTTTCCAAATAGACCATTGCTTGGCTGGGCCTCACCCCAGTGGAAAGGAAGCACATTAGGAGACACCCCCATCCTTGCCTTGGGATTGCGTCCCGATCCAATGAGTGCACAGTGAGGGTGGGACTGCAAACGTCTACACAGCATGCCTGCATCAACTACAGCTTTGCTTTACCTTCGTGCAATTTTTGAAGAAAAGAAAAAACCAAAAGCATTGCATTAGGGGCAGTTTCTACCCCTGCCTCCTCTCTCCCGTGCCCATAGCTCGGGGCGCGGAGAAAACAGCTCCCTAGAGGGGCGGGGCCCTGTAGCCTAATGGCCTGGCATCCCAAGTGCTGGTAGCGCCTGGCATTACTGTAGATTGTTTGTCAGCAACCCAGGGAACATGAGCAAAGAGTTCGAAACATTTCAGTTTAGAGTAAGTCATACCGCAATGCTGCCGATAGAACACACCAAACAGCGGCAATATAACTGTATTTGGGGAGACAGGTATTCCAAAGACAGCTATGGTAGCCTTTAGGCACAACTGTGAGCAGAAGTCTGTCTTCAGCTCCTCTCCCTTGTTCTTCCTTTGAGCTCATTCCCCTATTCACAGTCCCTTCTGCTGGTCTCATAGACTACTAGTAACGGATCTTTACAGCTTACCAAATGGTTTTTAAAAATCAATTAAATTAATTAATTAATTCTTAGAGAACGTGCATACTGGAGGTTGCAGAGCTAAGATCGCACCAGCCTGGGCACCTGGGCAACGAGAGCAAAAATCTGTCTCAAAAGAGAGAGAGAGAGAGAGAGAGAGAGAGCAAGAGAGCGAGAGCCTCCCTCTGTCACCCAGGCTGGAGGGCAATGTTGCAATCATAGCTCACTGCATCCTTGAATTCCTGGGCTCAAGTGATCCTCCCACTTCAGCCTCCCAAGTAGCTAGGACCACAGGTGCACGGCATCGCTTTCTGCTAATTTTTAAATTTTTTGGTAGAGATGAGGTCTCACTATGTTACCCAGACTGGTCTTAAATTTCTGGGCTCAAGCAATTCTCCTGCCTCAGCCCCGCAAAGCACTGGGGATTACAGGTGTGTTGTGAGCCACTACACTCAGCCGCATATATGTAAATATTAATCTTCAGGTTGGAACCTTGTCTTTTGGAGTTTAAGGTACTGAATATTGTAGCCTCTGAATTTTCCTCACTCTTATTCCCAGAATTCTGAAATTTCTGCAGAACGTGGTGCATTTTCTTATGCTACTATGTAAGATGAAGAATTACATATTGAAATTATTTTCTCAATGAAAAAAAAAAAAAAAAGCGAGGCCTTTCACCAAAGCTACCCAACCACATTTAGGTGAGAAGGTAGTTGATGGAGTGCATAAAATCCAAGAATGGGGCCACGAGTGGTGGCTCACCCCTATCATCCCAGCACTTTGGGAGGCTGAGGTGGGCATATCACTGGAGGTCAGGGGTTCAAGACCAGCCTGGCCAACATGGTAAAACCCCATCTCTGTACTAAAAATACAAAAAAATTAGCAGGTCATGGTGGTGGGCACCTGTAATCCCAGCTACTCGGGAGGCTGAGGCAGGAGAATCACTTGAACCCGGAGGCAGAGGTTGCAGTGAGTCGGGATGGCACCACTGCACTCTAGCCTGGGTGACACAGCAAGACTCCATCTCAAAAAATAAAAAAAAGTGCCCCAATAAAGACCCGGGCGAGTCCTGGGTCCCCACTCCACCTCTTTGTAGCTTCATGACACTCATCAGTCTTGACGATGACACTTATCAAAGACTTGATTTGACTTTCTTTTCTCCAAAAATGAAGATACGGTACTTGTATCATAGAATTGTCAGGAGAAACAAATGAAGCAAAGCGAAGCTCTCTGAAAACTGCACACACTCTTTGAATATTGTTATCATTGAACGGTCTCTATGAGACCAACCCTGCAAACAGGTTATGTCGGAATCTGTCGCAGGTACAGGGGTAGGTGTCTGCCTGCAGGAGCCTTCTTACTGCTGGAAGAGCAGGGTTCCAATCTCTTGGCAAGTCTTGCAAGAACTGGAGAATACTCGGTGCCTCCAGCTCCAGGCCAAAGGTTCTCAAACGGTGGTCCCCAGTCAGCAGCAGCAGCATCACCTGGGAACTTACAAGACATGAAAGAGACACACCAAAGACTGGACAAGTGACCGTTCAATTTTTTTTTTTTTTTTTTTTTTTTTTTTGAGACAGAGTCTCACCTTGTCACCCAGACTGGAGTGCAGTGGCGTGATCTTGGCTCACTGCAACCTCTGCCTCCCGGGTTCAAGCGATTCTCGTGCCTCAGCCTCCTGAGTAGCTGGGATTACAGGTACGCATCACCACACCTGGTTAATTTTTGTATTTTCAGTAGAGATGGGATTTCACCATGTTGGCCAGGCTGGTCTCAAACTCTTGACCTCAGGTGATCCGCCTGCCTCAGTCTCCCAAAGTGCTGGGATTACAGGCATGAGCCACCGTGCCCCCTTTCTATTCATATTATTTAAAGGTGTAAAAAATGCAGGGAACTTGAGAAAGAAAGCCATGGAAGGAACCATTGATGGCTTATTGATACATCCTGCAGTGACTGTCCATCTGTTTCAGATATTTGTGACCGCAAAGAAAGCAGCTTGCCTCTACAAGCTGGGAGAAATTAAGACAAGAACTCTAGCTACTGAAATTATTTTCAACCTTTCCCCAAATAACAATATTTCAGAGGCATTGAAAAAATGTGATATCTCAGCAAATGACACTTGGGTTCTAATTGTTTATACTAAAGAGGGAGAAAAACAAATCAAGGGTATCTAATATCTCAAGTAGAGGTCAGCAGGTTTCTCTGAAAAATCTTCCTGAAATAATAAATATTACAAAATTCAAAAAGAAATATAAACTCCCTCCACAAGAAGAATGTATTGGGAACATTACTGGATGGTATTTGTAGAATGTCAACAAAGGATGTTTTGCAAAAAGTCAGAAATATTAGCAGAAATTTTCAGCATTAAAGAAAACACTGGGCCTGTAATCTCAGCACTTTGGGAAGCCAAGGTGGGCCGATCACCTGAGCTCAGGCATTCAAGACCAGCCCGGACAACATGGCAAATCCCCATCTCTATAAAAATACAAAAAATTAACCTGGCGTGGTGATGGCACACCTGTGATCCCAGCTACTTGGGAGAATTGCTTGAACCCGGGAGGCGGAGGTTGCAGTGAACCTAGATGGTGCCACTGCATTCCAGCCTGGGTGACAGACTGAAACTCCATCTCAAAAACAAAACAAAACAAATTGATTTTCCTTTGCTCATTAAAATGTTATTTTATTTTTATTTTTTGTAGTGACGGCATCTTGCTATGTTGCCCAGACTGGTCTCAAACTCCTAACCTCAAGCGATCCTTCCACCTCAGCATCCCAATGCACTAGGATTATAGGCATGAGCCACCACACCCTGCCCCCACCTTTTTTATTATTTTAAAAGATAACCACTGTTACTGTTATTTGTTAGTGCCTTCTAGTTTTCTGCTTCTACTCAAATATATTTTATTTTTATGTAATTGTAATAAAAATTGCAAACACTTCAAAAAAAGAAGAAATACAAATTCTCAGGCCCTACCTCAACCCTACTAAATCATAAACTGTGGGATGGGGCCCATGAATCTGTTTTTCCAAACCGTCCAGATGATTCTAATGCATGCTGAAGTTGGAGAATCAGTGACCTAGGTCTTTGGAGCCTCTGCAAGAACCAAGAACAAGGCCCCCATTTTAATAGCCTTTTCATTATCTTGCATAGTGTGAGCACAAAAGAGGCTTCAAATCCTAGAGCCAGGAGGTACCTGAGAAGCCATTTCTCAGGTCAGTTTAATTTGTAGCTGAGGACTTGGCAACCCATAGGGCTAAGTGAAGTGTGACCCAGAGCCAGGCCAACAGCCGGTGTGAAGGCAACTCTCAGCCCAGGGCACTTCCTGCTGTGTCCACTGCCTCTCTTTATCCAGAGCAAAAGCACCATGCAGCTGTGACTTGAACACAGTAGAGCTCGAAGGAGCAAGGTCAGGTGGAGATGCTGGGTTTGGATAAACCCACTTAGTTCTAGCCCAGAAGGCAGGGGCCCAGCGGAGGTCACAGCTACCTTCCTCGTTCTTAGTCTTGTAAATTGCCTGATTAGTTCTTCCTGCCTGCTACAGAATAAATCAGTTCACTGAGACTGTGGTACTGCAGTAAAGAAAGAGTTTAGGCCGTGTGCGGTGCCTCGCGTCTGTAATACCAGCACTTTGGGAGGCTGAGGTGGGCAGATCATTTGAGCCCAGGAGTTTGATACTAGCCTGGCCAACATGTCAAAACTCTGTCTCTACTAAAAATACAAAAATTAGCCAGCCGTGGTGGTTTGCACCTGTAATTCCAATTCCAGTTACTAGAGAGGCTGAAGCAGGAGAATTGGTGGCAGGAGCGTGTAATCCCAGCTACTCAAGAGACTGAGGTAGGAGAATTGCTTGAACCCAGGAGGTGGAAATTGCAGTGAGCTGAGATTGCACCACTGCACTCCAGCCTTGGCGACAGAGCAAATGCAAGAGTTTAATGAACTTGAGGCTGGCCACGTGAAAGAACTGGAGTTGTCACTCAAATCGGTCTCCCAGAAGACTTGGGGTTAGGGTTTCTCAAGGACAGTATGCTGGGCTGGGGACTAGGGAATGGGTGCTGCTAACTGGTTGGTGGTGAAATCATAGGGGTGTGGAAAAACGGTTCTTATGCACAAGTCTGCCTCTGAGTGGTTGAGGACTGGTTGAGTCATGCATCATGATCCTGGGTGGGGCCAGTCAGTTGCCAGAATGCAAATATCCGAAAAACATCTCAAAAGACCAATCTGAGGTTCCATAGCAGTGATGTTATCTATAAGGGCAATTGAGGAGGTCACAACTCTTGTGACTTCGGTCACAGGACACCTGGGCCATAAGGGATTGTAGAGACTATTCCTCCATTTTAGCAGAGGTCAGGACTCTCCCATAATTGTAATCTCTTGGCCTTTCATTAGTTTTTGGCCCCTGAGCAAGGAAGGGGTTAGTTTTAGGGAGGGACTATTATCATTCTTGCTTCCAACCTAAACTATAAACTAAATTCCTCCCATGGTTAACTTGGCCTATGCACAGATGTGAGCAAAGCCAGCCAGCCTGTGAGGCTAGAAGCAAGATGAAGTCAGCCGTACTAGCCTTC